TCGTCGTCGTCGTCGTCGTCGTCGTCGTCGTCGTCGTCGCCGTCGTCGTCGTTGTTGTTTGCATTGTTTTCGTTGTTTTCGTTATTTTCGTCCACCTCGTGGCCGTGGCCGTCGTCGTCGTGTCACGAGCCTTTCGTTTTTCTTCTTAAATCAACCAACTCGTAAAGTCAAATAACAAATTTTCAAACAGAACAACACCCCTTCTCTTTTTTCCCACTCTCTTTCCCACTTCACCCCAATTTAAAATCCCCCTTTTTTTTTACTTTCATCATCGTTTCTTCTTATCTTTATTCTTATCCATCGTTGTCGTTCTTCTTCTTTTTTTGTGGTTATAAATTATCTCTTTCTCTTTCCACCCCCTTTTTTTCTTTCTTTCTCTCCCTTCTTTCTTTAGTTTTTTTTTTCTTCTTTTCTCTTCTTCCTAATCTTATTACCTCTTCTGATACTCTCTTTTGAAAACCCTTCTTTAGAAGAAGTTTCTTTTACTTCTTCTTTTTCTTCCTGTTCCTCCTCTTCCTTTTATTTTACTACGACGATTTATTCCAAAGAGGAAACACGTACTCCGGAGAAACAGGATAGACATTAAAGAGATCTCTAGGAGGAGAGAGAAAGAAAGACGAGTCGCACCAGGTATCGTAATTCAGCTCTCTTTCTTTCTTTCTTACTTTCTTTTTTATATTTTTAATATTTTCTTTTCTTATTTTCATATTATTTGCACATTGTTATTTTTTTCTATTCATTTCTCTCTCTTTCTATCTAAATCTTAATCTTCTTTCTTCAAAGATTTAACGAAAGTAAGAAAAAAATTGGCCGATTACCGGATATATCATCTTCCTCTTTCTCTTTCACTTTCTCTCACTCATTTTCTATCTTACTCACTTGAGAGGAACGTTTTAACCCCTGTATAAGGGGATGTCACCCCTAGTCTCAATGTACTTTTCATTTTCTTCTATCGCAAGTTCGAAATTTTCTTTCTTTGTGAACGAAAAGTAGAAACATAGATAAACAAAAACAAAAAAAGAAAAAGAAAAGGAATGAAAGGGTTGAGAAAAAAATCAAAATTCGAAATTTTGCTTGCCAAAGCAAACAAAAGAAATTGCCAAGCTTTGTCAATTCCCCTTTCAACGAGGGGAGGAAAAAAAGAAAGAAAGAAAACGGAACATTATCAACTTTGCTTTTTCTTTTTCTTTTTCTTTTTTTTTTGAATTTTCTTCTCTTATCAACGAATAAATTTTAAAAATTCATACTTGTTTTTTTTTTTTCATTGAGGTAAGAAAAAAATGGTAGTAACAAGAACAGCTTGGTTATTTCATTTTTGATGATACTTTTTCAAGATGTCCTCGAGTTATCGTAGTCCTACGTTCCTTTCATTTCACGACCCTTGAAATTTTTATTATCGACTTATAAGAAACAAAAAAATATTAAGACTCTCAATGTTCTTCTTCTTCTTGTTAATGTTTTAGAAATAAAAAGAAAGAGATACAGAAAGAGAAATAAAAATCAGAGAAAGAAAATTCATATAGCCTCAGGGTTTATAATTTCATTATACGTATCTGTCTCTTTAACATTTAATGGTGTTTTTTTCATTATACATTAATAATAAAATGTATTATTATCATAATCATAATCATCATTATTATTACTATTATTATTATTAAATATGAATATATCCTTATTATTATTATTATTATCTGTTTGCATGTTAGATTCATTAACGATGAATTCGTATGTAAATGCTAGAAATTTGAAGTAAAATTCATCTAATTCAGGTTCATCATGACCATAATTATCATAGTTTATTCGATACCAGTATATTATCACGTTCAACGATAGAAATCGCCCTATTCGGATTAATTTTGATTTTATAATCTTCTTTATTCAAAAGCCTGATTTGATCAAAGAGGATCTACACAATGGTATTAGAAATCATTGAGAAGATTATTGAGTCTTTGAATGCAATCTTTGTAACATTCGATGTCACACGTTCATTTCTATTCCACGAATTGATCAAGTTCAAATAATAATTTCTTTTCCTTTCGTTTCAATTAGTCATTAAATTATTCATATATTATTGATTAATAATGATTAACTATATTTTATCTCCTTCTTGTTATTTTTCAGTATAGGACAATCTGATTTGTTTAAAATCATCGTAAGGATGGAAGGATTGTAGGAACAATCGTAAGAAATTCTTTTTTGCGATCATATTTATCGTATACAAGGTATTAAGGACAATCATTAATCTGAGGAATAATCGAAAGAAAGAAAACTTTATCGTCTACCTCGATCATGCTCAGCCCAAAGATGCAAAGAACCGGTGAGTTTTGAATTATTTTTATTTATACGACAATAATACGTGTACTACTCCTATTCTTTGTCTTCCTGGTTTTTTATAAATACAATATTCCTATCGGTCAATATTCGATTGATCAATAAGTGATATTGAAATGTTTAATATGCAAAATAATGAATATGCATAAGATTTGTATTTATTGAGAGTGACATCAAATATTGAAAATATTCGACATACATATGCTACATTTTATTCGTCCAGAAATTAAATTATTCAACATTCTATTAAAGACAACAATAAATAATAGAAAAAGAAAAAACACAATATTTTATTTACGAGATTTATAATAAAAAAAAAAAAAGAAATAAAAAATAAAAAGAAAACAAAATTTACTGCATTTAGGTGGAAGCATTGTTCGACCGAATATCGAATATTACAAGGTTGTATTCAGGGTTGCTTTCAAAAAATAATTTCGTTCTTATAAATGGCAAATAAAAGAGAATTATTTTTTTATATTTATAATCCAATTTCTATTCTTGTTATACGACGTGAATTGGCGTAAAAAAAACCAGTAGGAGTACCTTTGTTTTTACGCATAGACGAAAAATTTTTACGCAGTTGTAAAAAATATTGAATTAATTTTCACTTCTTTAAAAAATCCTCGATGTAAAGAAAAAGCAACAAAAAATTTCTTTAAATGACCAAGAATATTGTATTCAAAAATAGACATTTTTCATTAGATTTTCATTTTAATTCTAACTTACATCACTTAATTTTTATTTCTTTTTTTTTTTTCTAAGTTAAGAACTAAAAAGAACAATTCCACGATTTAACAAAAGACTCGAGAAAGAATTTTTTTGTTGGTTCTTTTCCTTATTTAACTCTTTACTTTTTTTCTCTCTCTCGTTTTTTTCTTCTCTTGTATTTTGTTGTTTCTTTCATTCTCAGTTCAAACGAAAAGAAACCAAGCGTAAAATTGCACTTTACGTTCTCACGATGACGTACAACCTTCTTAAATTCTTATTTTCGTTAAACGAATCATTTTACAATAATTCAGGAATAAACAAAACTTTTTTAACTATTATAAAACTTATTAGTTAATTATAACTTATAAATGTGTCTCCTTTTATCTATTTCTCTTAATTGTTTTAACAAACAAACAAAACATTCATGAGACTGAATAAATTCATAATTATTTATGAACGAGATGATAAATACGAGAATTATATTTTCGTAGAATAAATTACTGTTTTTTTTTTTTCTTAAATAATGGAATAATAAATAATTACGTTTATTTAAAAAAAAATGCAATAAAAGTAAATTTTGAAGCATATAAAAAGAAAAAAAAAATCGTTCTCTTCGCATTATTAACTTTATGCAAATTTAAATACACACACGTCAGTATAGAATACACTGAATGATAAATAAAATAATTAGACGATAGGTAGAAAAATAATTCATGTATACGCATTGAAATATTTAACAATATAAAGTATCATGTACTCTTTTTCATATTCGCATTATTGATCGAAAATAAACAATACATAAAATATGTAATATAATTATAAATAATAGAACAATGAAATTAACTCTTTGACTGGCACGCCGAAATTATATGTTTTACCCAGGACGCCTCCGCATTATTTTTATTATTCATAGAATATAATGGCAAAATAATAATAAATTCATGTTAATAATTAAATTGTAATTGTTCAATAGAGAACTTTTTATTTCAAAGTATCTTCTATATATCGGTCATATTCAAATACACTAACTTTCAATTTTCATTTAGTTTGTTACAATTGTAAAAGGTTCATATCATCTCATCAGGAGAAACCGTGGTCAGTCATATATGACCAACATGTCAGTCAAAATGTTAATTTGATAAGTTGTATCAGATTCCTATCAGATTGAAACGAATGGTATTGTTTCTTCCATTTATCTTTTTAATAATTGTTTGTATTTTTGTAATCACACCGAGGTAATAACGTATTCATTTTGTTGTAATATATTTGTTTGTTTGTTTTTTTTTTTTCAGTGAGGGTAAACGACTCTCAGCTAGTGATGCTCTCGGAGAGAGCCCATTATGATAATTCGATGACTGGATTTTTACACAAACGAACCGCTGATTCAGGAAAATGGCAATTAAGGTGGTTCGTCTTGTATCAGGTAATTTAATTAACGTTAATGCAATTTTTTTTATAAAAAATATTATACAACTTCGTATATATATATATGTGTGTGTGTGTGTGTGTATTTCTTTACTATTTATCATCATATGACGAAATAACCCATAATGTAAAGAAACATTTGTGAAATGGGGGTGGGGGTTAGGTAGTAAACTCTCATCTGAGATACGGAAATAAATCGATCACGAAAATGTATCTATGCATCCAGAAAGAACTGATTTACGAGGGAGATTTTCTTTTTTTTCTTTTTCTTTTTTTCTTTCTTTCCTGTTAGCCAATAGTCAACACACTTGTGTATCGCGTGATTTATCGAGATATAAGCTTCGACAAAAATTGGATGATATATCAATGAAAATTGTTTGATAGTAACTTTTACAAGAGATAGAAGTACGCTTATAACGTTAGTACGATCATTTATTTTTAACCAATAATCTTAATAAAAAATGAATTATTAAAAGAAATTTAATAGTTTGTTTTTTTATCGACAATAAATTAAAGTAATAATCGATACAATATTACAAAGAAGATCGATCTAATATTAATATTGTAAAATAATGCTTATCGATGATTTTTTTTTTATAATTATATTATAATATATATTTAAAAAAAAAATATTAATATATAATATTTTATATTATATATATATTATATAATATAAATATTAAATACAATATTTTATATTATATATATTTTTATATTTTGTATATATATATTATATAATAATTAATATATTTGTTAAATTAAATTTTATAAATTTTATATTAATTTATTAAATTATTATAAATATATGTTAATTAAAAAATATAAATTATAAATAAAATATTTTATTTATTTAATTTGTGTTTTAAATTTCATGAGAAAGTGAAACAAATTCAACAAATGCATGACAACTTATCAGTTTAAATTGGTTACAATAAATCGTTGTTATAATACAAAAAACAACAAAAAAAAAAAAAGAAATGTTTTATAAATTACTATAGAATAATTAACAGAAAATAATAGAACAATCGTGTTGAAACAAAAACTACACAATGCAATTAACAATTCTACTTTGATTAATATGTTATTACGTTTATTCACTATTTACTTTTCTAATGAACTCTACCTTCGTAATCAAAGAAACATACTTATTATTAGTTTAAATAATTAAAACTGGTTCACAGACGCACACACACACACACGCTCGATTTACGTCGTAAAATAACATCACGCTCGTTTGTGCGTATGTTGAACATATTTTAACTATCCCTTCCAACATTATCAAATCAAAAATCAACAAGGAGATTCGATTTTAAAGAATCTAACTGATTTTGCTGTTCTATCGAAGAAAACAAAAAGAAAAAGAAAAAAGAAAAAGAAAAAGGAACAAGATATCAATTGAATCAATTGTAAAGTTTCATTAATTTCTATTAATAATTTATGTGATTCTTTTTTATTTTTTTGAAAAAATTCATTCACACAATAATATTTAATAGAAACGATCGTAAAAATTGTGAAAGAATTTATATTTTTAATTATAATTATAATATAATCGTATTTTTGGATAAAACCCCATAGAACACCCTAAACAAAATCAATATCAATGGTCGTATGATACTTTGGTGTTTCAGAATCTGTTATTCTATTACGAAAACGACACTAGCTCGCGACCAAGTGGTGTCGTTTTGCTAGAGGGCTGCTATTGCGATCGTCTCATCACCGCTAAAGGCAAAGAACCGGATAAACAAGTACGTATTATTTCCATAGTTATCAGTTTACTTCAAAAACATTCTCTTCAATGAAAAATCTTATCATCCTCAAAAAATGCAAAAATTTCTATTCTATGTTGAACATTTAGAACGAATCAAACTGTAACAAAACAAAAACATTTGATAAAAGTAACTTAGTAACGTGAAATTCGTTTTTTTTTTTTCGTGCTAGTAATAATTTATTTATATTTTAGTAATCTTGATATTTTTTTTTAGTAGAACGTTAGTTGAACATTTTCGTATATATTAATTTATAAGAAAATGTTTCAAACCGATAATATTAAAATATTTATCGTTTAAATGTAACAAATTTTAATTGCACATTTCTCTTTTTCTATTTTATATATATATATTTTTTTTAAATTTTTTTATCGATAAAATATTTCATTATTTGAGGGGGAAGAAAAATCATCGATGAATAATGAACATGCATGATTAAACAAATTATAAAAAAATCTGAAAAACCCATTTAATATTTCTCGTTGGAATACGTTTGTTAATTGTATTTCTATGGTCTTTTCAAAAAGCAAAATCGTGGAAATCACAGATGATTAAATTTATTGAATTAATTACCACAAACATATATATCAAATATCATCGATAATAATTATCATATTTATTAAATATGGTATAAATGAACATAATTATATAATTATAAATTAATTAACAATACATTTAATTATAGTTATACATGTAGATAATCGTAGACATGTATACGTTTACATGTATGGTCATTTCCGTTTAGGATTTTTATCCGTACTTGTCGGATCCGTAACTTCCGTTAAGATTACTTTTTTTTTCTTTCTACATTTTCGAAATATAATCCAACGAGAACTACTCAGAACATTGAGAAACTTGTCCGACCAATCGAACTCAACTCGATCAAGTGTTTCTACGTCTCTGATCAATATGGTTATCACTAGCTGACAATTTCATTCGTGATATTTCATTGAGGAATCTCCCTCTGACAATTTCAAATTACAATCGATATTATCAACATTGTCAATTTGTTTTCAATCAACAAATCAATGCTAATTGATTTAAGATTGACAATTTTCAATCAAACATCGTGATTTTCGTGAATCAATGATTATAATTATGAAGATATTTATCTACGATCAATGATTTTAAACGTTCGTATTTTTTTTTTTTTTTTTTAATATAATTTGAAAATGAAATCGTACAAAACAGTTTTATGGGGGGGGGGTCTTTTTTTCTATAAATCAAATTTAAATCTAATCAATCGTCAACGATTTGATCAACATTACAAAATTCTTTCTACGTTAATTTTGTGTTCTATATAAATACAACTGTTATTTTTGTAAGAACATATATTTACATGTTAGCCCAAAAACAATAATATTGTAATTTAATTTTTAAAAAACAATGTATATTTAACATGTTGTCCGTAACGACGTGTCCACTGGACTGGTACACGTTAAACTTGTTCTTCAGGCCACGTGTACCACCGGTGATACACTTACCATTAGACATATTTATTTAATGAACTGAAAATATATGTTTATAACAAATTTAATTCTGTCGAGAAAAAAAATTTCTATTACAATATAAATGTATTATACAAAATGCAGCAGTACATAACAAAGCGCATAGGTTTATTTCATTATTATATTTACAATAATTAATAATTACATGTGATGGTTAATTATGTAAATTCAAAATTAAATAGCCTGAATGATCAAGTCAGGTAAAAATTGCTTGACACGAAACATGTTAATAGTTACACTGATCGGAATACGAAAATTGTAATAGGAATTGAGTACACAATTAAGTTTCATTTTCATCTAGAAAATATACAGTTTGGTTGTATTTATTGTTGGTATCGATTGTTCAATTGAGAACTATTTAAACTATAATATTATTTTGAAGGCTTTTATCAAAAGTAGTATATTCATATTTCATGATGTATTATGCATTCACTATGTGGTTTTATTAAAATCTCATTATATTATGAATAAATTTACGTCATATATAATAATAATAATAATAATAATAATAATAATAATAATAATAATAATAATAATAATTATTATTATTATTATTATTATTATTACATCAACATATTTCATAGATATTTATCGACATATTAAACGAGTTTTAAGAAAGAAAATAATATCGTGGGGTTAAAGACAAAAATAATAACAATAAAAAAGAAAAACCAAAAAAAAAAAAAATCAAAAATTATTGTCTCTGTCTGATCTATCCGATTAAGAGCTCGTTTTTGGTGTTAAAACACAATCGACTATCGATTTATAATCGTACTTTTGTCAATCACGTTTCGATATATATATATAATGTTGAGCATTTCCATAAGCTATGTAGCTGTATATATACATATATAAATATCGAAGGATCGATAACCGTCTTTCAATTTGTCAGGGAAATGTTTGATCGTGCTAGATGTCAATAACTCGATTTCTATATATATATATATATCGACAAGAATATTTTATCTTGCATTACAGATCGAACGGATAGGGTTTATCTTTAAAAAAAAAAAAAAGGAAAAAAGAAATAAAACGGAGATGTGTATCTCGATTTAGATGATTTTCATCGAAAGGAATAAAGAAAAATGAAATATATATATACGATTGGAAACGTTAGGAATAAATTGAAATATCATTTCTCATGTTAGATTGATTTCGATGCAAATTTCATTCCCCCCTTCATCTCTTCCTCTTCCACCCCAGCGACGTATTAATCTTTCTTTCTTTTACGAACAAACAACGTGATAACAACGATAAAGAAACTCGTTGTTGCATTCACCCTCTTCCTTCCATAATAAAGGAAACAAAAAAAAAACAAAAAAACAAAAGAAAATGGGAAAATTCGTTCACAAATTTGCTTTTATCAAATTACGATTCATCATTTTTTTTTTTTTTGTCTTCTTCCCACATCTTCTAACATATATATGGCTAAGAAAACGTTTTATTCTTACCTACACTTGTTGATCGATCATTCCGCAAACTTTGTTTGTTTTTGGAAAAAAAGAAGAAAAAAAAAAATAGAAAAAAGAAGAAACTTTATTTCATTTCTTTTTATTTTTCTTTTCTTCACGACTTCGCGAGAAAGCTAAAGGTGTGAGAGATAAAATGAAAGGTGTGTGCGTGACGTTAGAAGGATTTTTACAACATACATACGATACTTTCTTTTTTTTTTTAAGTATTTTTGAATATTGAATATTTTTAATTAAAATGTTTTGTAGGAACGGAATAATTTATTATTAATCAGATTTTAATAATGAATTATAATTAAAAATTTAAAAATTCAAAAGTTAACATTTACATTTAAAAATAAATTTAAAGTTTTTCTCTCTGAATATAATTTAATTAATTAATTAATTAATATAAACATTACATTATTTTACATTAATATTAACAAACATGTATATGCATCGATAGATCACTCTGGTAATTTTTATCAAACGCATATATGCGTTCATAGCACTCTAAGAGTTAAAAAGATAGTTCATATTTGAAATGTACATTGAATTTGACGATATACTTAATATTTGTATAATCATAATAATATGTTTAAAATTTACATTTAAATTTAACATTTTAAATGTACGTTTTAACATATGAGACGGGAATATGGAAGAAATGAAAAAAAAAAAAAAAAAAAATTGTTGAAAATTTTATCCTCATATTTTTAAACGGAAAATTTCTCATTTTCATTCGTTACCGTGTTTCAATGTTTTTTGTTTTTCTCGCATTCGAAAATTTTCTTTCAATCGCATTTTTATTTCTCGTGGTTGATATTTATATTAGATTTGCATTTAACGATGCAGTGTGTATTTATTTTTGTTGCTTTACAGTATTAAATATTTAAAAAAACGTTTTAATAATGTACAGGTCATTGGTATTCTCATCGTCGTTTGGCAAATATTTGCAACACCTTTTTTGATATTTTAAAATTTTACACCATAGTAAATATTTGAGAGCATTTACAATATTGCAAACGTATTACAGATAAATTTAATTTTAAATATCGTAAACGTAGATTTACCGACATATATATATAAAACCCATAGAAATTTGATATCACGGTGTATACCAAAATCACGAAATATCTTCAATCAAAATTCGGTTGTTCACAATTTTCAACATTATTGGAATTCGATATTTGAATTTCTACTTTATAAACGAGATATACGTATGTAACACATTTAACGACAAAAAACAAATTTTATATTGCTACAAAAACAGTATGTGTATGTATTACAAAAAAAAGAAAAAAAAATATTTTTATAAATTTTATATTACCAAAAAAAAAAAAATATTTTTTCTTTTTATATCTTTTTCCAATTTTTCGTGTTATTTATTTTTCAATGAAAATACGTGTACATCGTATCATAATGCACGTATGAACATGTAAAAGTATGCCAGTTTATTTTACGAGAGATAAGAAATTTGTAGAAAAATAAAAAAGAGAAAAAATGAGACGAACAATACGTTACCAAAAAATATATCTTACATGCGTGTAAGTAAATACTTGTATATATACAGTGGGTTTAGAAAGTATTCATATATATATGTATATATAGATAAATTAGAAACTTATAGAAAAATGTTAGAAAAAAAATGGATGGGGTAAAGGTGAAGCAAATAGAAAAGAAAAAGAAGAAAAAGAAAAAAGAAAAGTAAAATAAAAACTTGTAACTCGTAAAAAAGATCATATTTCTTTTATCTAACACACATTGTTTTTATCGTAAGTAAACATCTGCACTAAAATACTTGCATAGGTGAACAATATATAGATGAATTTACGTGTATTACCAGTCAGAATATGATGTTAGAAAGATTTGTTCGACAAAAAATTGAAATGTGATTCGTAGAAACTGTATAGAAAAACTTTCGTTAGTCACTTCGACGAGTTTCACGTATATCTGTAAAATGTTAGAAGAAAGTATCATAAAAGAAAACAACACATATCTGTACTATGCGTTAACTGAAATA